ATTGACTTCTCTTCGAACAATCGACGATCAAACAAGAGACAAGAACGCTTTGGATTCTCGTATTGATTTCTTACTTGTAATTATATTTCTTTCGTCTTTTCTTATTATATCGCGTAAAATATATTTCGAAATATTTCATATATTTTTTCGACCAAATAACATTTTCGAAAAAGTTCAAAGTTATACAATGCTCAAAATATATATATATATAAATGTCGTGTTTTCCGAGCAATTTTTTCGTGAGAAAAAGAGAAGAGAAAAATAAATACGTAATGAATCGTTTGAATAAATATCATCATTAAACGAACATTGTATTTACTTAACGGAAAAATAAAAATTAGTATTATCTTGCCCTAAATTATATTTGTATAAATTTATACGTCTTTAAAAAAAACTGTCTTTAAAAAAAACTATTTGGACGAACTCGTCGTGCGAAGATATCGTTGTTCTTTTATTTTCTTTCTCTTTCGTATTTCGTTTTCCATTCTAACGAACATCATTATCTTTGATTAGTTTAATTTTATTCACGTACATTATCGCGAATATGTATGTTCGTTCTCGTTTTTCACTTTGATTTTATCGAAGAGAGAATTACACGCGATAAAATGAAATCAAATACGAGATAAGAAAAAACAAGTTAAAACGTTGTAATGTTGCGTGTAAAATCCTTCGCTTCGACTCGTAGTATGTAGTATGCAGTATGCTTGCGAGTTACGATAGATATCGTTGAAAAGTACAACGATTCTAGTTGTCAACTTTTTTTTGTAAAACGAAGAAGAAATCATTTTTTTTCAGTGATGTGGCTTTCTTACTTGATTAAACAGCATGCGCCGTTTTCTAAATATTCGAAATCTCCGAATTCCGAATCAATAGCTGGCCGTTAATTGCTATTCACCACGTACGCGACGTGCGCGCGATGTGACAAAGACTAGATAAGTTGCACGTGATTATATAGGTATCACTTAATTGCCTTCCGCATAATCGAACGATTCTCTCAGGTATGAAAGTGAATTGTTATGTTGACAGTAGAGGCGGTCCATATTGCCAATCAACTCTGCCAGTATGGCTACTTCTTCCCGGTGAATGACTCCAAGACACTCACCGTAAGGGATGATAGTTCTCTGTATAGATTTCAGGTACCGTACTTGTCCTTATTACGCTTGACAATCGAATCGAAATTCGAAACTGGCATCTATTACCACCATCATCTATACTATACATATATTATGTACATATGTATTTGTATTACTTTGTACAAACGTTACGAAAAGAAGTACGAAAAAAGTTTTCCAATCTGATCGAAAACTCATTCCGAATCCGATTTATACTATTATGATATAATTAGGATAGTGTTTTCGCGTATAATATATCGCTGCATCGAAAGTATTTTTTTTTTTTTTTTTTTCAAATT